TCCGGAAAACGGTTAGAGGCAGCATCTGGGTGGGCAGAGGATCTGAAGAAACTAGCGTTTCACACTGGACACAGAGCCTACAACCGAGGCACCTATCCACGTCACGTGCACACTGTCAAGTTCCAGGGGAGCCGACCTGGCCTGCTGACCCAGCTCGTAGACATGGAAACGCAGCCAACCCACGGGCTGGTGCCACCACGGCCAGGGCTCGGCGCTAACCTGCCTACACTCAACCAGCCACGGACTTGGTGAAAAGGCCTCCACGTGGTTCGCCCAGCTGGACTAGAATCAGGGCAGCACACTCCCGGAGGGCGGCCGGACACACCATGCTGGTCTACGAGACTGCAGCGATCGGACGGCAAGGACGCTTGGACTTCAGCATGTTTGCAAAACCCAGCAAGGTGAGCATTCAAAGGAGAGGCTCCAGGGCCACCACCTCCAGGCCTCTGGGCAGTCACACCTCAGCCAGGGCCGGAGTCTTCCTCGCTCTGCCTCGGGCTGTATCTGTGAAATCCACAGCACACTTGAACATACCCTACAAGGAAGCCACCCGGGAACCGCGCCCTGCAGAGCTACACCCCCACATGTGTGTGCACCCACCCACAGCCCTCTCAGGACGTGGAGACTGCCGTGGCCAGTCAACGTTCTCGTCTATCCTTTTGAAATTTCATTTGGTTCTTAGCGGCCACCAGGCGATGAGTCAGTTGGGGGAATGTCGTTTCTGGTCAAAAATCAAAGGTAAGTGCGCACACCCGCAGGAGGCTCTCCTGTGCGTCCTCAGTAGGCTCTGAGGACGGTGGCCCTGACCAGCAGCAGCCCCTCAGGAGACCACCTGAATGCCAACTGCTACTTCTGTAAGTAGGAAAATTCTGGTGTTTAATTAAAATAACGTTCCCATCTCGACTCAGCTGCCCCGCTCTGCAGGCATGTGTGCCAGCCCAGCTCCCAGCATGTGTGGGGCCACCTACCCTGAGGAGGACCCGACAGGCACCTTCCTGGGGGAGCAGGCCTTGGCTTGAGCCCAAATTGCAAATACTCTCTTTGAAGTTTCCAAGGTCCATTCTCAAGGGCACGTGAAGTGCTGGGAAGCAGCGACTTCCCCACGAGTCCTGTGGCCATGTGAAGACTTCCCAGTGTTCCTCGGCGAACACACGCAGCCTTCACAAAGTTCACAGGAAATGAACGCTGTGAAGACTATGGGCAGATTAAATAAAACGATGAAGGTTTTTGTCATGGGGCGCATGCACTCACTGGAGAGAGAGAGGGAAAGTGAGAAATTACCCCTCAGAGGATGGCCACATCACAATCCCTTCTCCTGGGATCTGGACAAGCACACATACGCCCCGCGTGGTTTTTAAGCCTCCAGGTTTGGGACTCAAACCACGGTTACCCAAGTGGGTGCCCAGCACCTTAACAATCACAGCACCATCTGGCCTCCAGATTTTTCCTTTTTTTTTTTTCACCAAAATAAACTGATACTTTAATTCCATTTCCCCACAAACTTAGTCTTAAGTCCCTCCTCTATAAAACACAACTTTCTAGGAAGACTTGTTATCAGCCTGTTAGACAGCCCCCGGTTGGTGCAGTGGACAGTGAGAACATGTGTCCCTCTGAAAGGATCCGTTACTCCGACAGATGCCTTCCAGGTGTGGGGACCTCAGGCCAAAATCAGGCAGTCCCAACCCAAATAAGCCCCAAATCGGTCAGGCTGCCTCTCACCCAGAGGTGCGTGAAGAAAACATGGACCCATGTTAAAATGAACACTAGGACTGCAAGATTCTTAATCTGCATGATTGCTTTATTGTACAAAAAGTTTCCAGTAATAGTGAATTCATTTTTAAAAAGGCCAAAAGAAGTCATTTTGGGTAAAAGCGCTTCACTAATTGCTTTATTTAAGCATACAAGTAAGAGTCTTATCTGACCAATTAGGGTAGAAGGGTTTTATTACCTTTGAGAAGCCATTAGCTGGGATAAAACACGGAAAGCATTTGTGTCAAAACAAATAAATAATGCTCTCTCCACAGCAGAGAGGGCAGTTAAATTACACACACAGCTTCCCAGAGCGGCAGCGACCCGGGACGCACACCACAGAGGCAGTCTGCAGCGGCAGTGGGAAGGACCAGGAGCTCTGGAGGACGGACAGTGCCCGCCCCCCTCCCGCCAGCCCCTCCTCAGAGCCAGCCCGGGCCGTCTACAGGTGCCCAAGGAGGCCTTCCCTGTGGGCCCTTCTCTGAGGGTGCTTCCCAGGCCAGGGAGAAATAGGCCCGAGGTTACCTCCACTGCCCGACAGACCTGATGTGCCCAGACAGGGCTGGCAGCGGGTGACGGTCTGTCGTTTAGAGGGGAAGAATGACCCTGAGGTATCACGTGATTAGGAATCTCTTCTTTAGATGCTGCTGGTTCCCCCGAGTAATCAGGCTCGATGGGAAAACACAGTGCTCGGGGCCCCCAGCAGCGGCGCCCAGGTGAGAGCAGCGCCATGCTGGGTCTGCCATCCCTACCCTGGGTTCCGGCCCAGTGGGGCAGCTCCCCGTCCCCCCGTGAGACCCCTACGACTACTTCTAATCAGATCCTTATTTTACCCAAGCGGGTGGAGGAGGAGAGGAGACAGAGAACCACCTTCATCACCTTATTCGGTAAAATAAATATAAATAAATGGCGACCCTTTCTTAAAGGGTCACTTTTCTTCAAGGATTAATAAAACTCGGCATTTGAAGAAGCTTTAACAAGAACCCAGTATGGCCACCGGCCACCGCAGGCTGCGTCTGAGGCAGGTCCCCACTGACCTCGGGGCAGCTGGCCTGGCCTGCACGTGTGGATCGCTGCATGAAACAAGCGGGTCTGGGTGCACTGGCTACTCTCCAGCTCTGCAGAGCCCCATATCCGAGGGCAGAGGGGGCTGGACTGCTACTCCTGACCCTCTTTCTTCGTCAGCATGTGTCAGGAAATACCGCGTCGTTCCTGGACAGGCCAGGGACCCCGTTGCTCCACAGCCACATCAGTTGGTGGGAGGCCAGCGGCTGCAAGACCGACTCGGGCAGAGGCTGTGGCGTGTTTGAACTGGGATCTCTCTGGACACCTCGAATCTCGGGACTTGAATTGAAAGTTCTGGAAACAACTTCAAAGTCAATTCTAGGGAGACATTTTATGTGATTGGTCCAAATAAAACCTAACACATTTAATGAGGTTATGCTCTCCTTAAGCCTTTTAAGAGAAGAAAAACAACAAAAAAGCCATCAAAAATTACCCAAAGACCATTACAGCGCTCCTGGTGTCAGAACAAGAGCGGCAAAGCACAAGGAGCTCAGTCTCAGAGCCGCGGTCACGTCCCATGCTCTCCAGCTCCAGGGCTGTACTCGAGCACCACGTGGTAACAGGTAGGCCGATGGCGAGACCTACGTGCACAGCCTGGTCCGCGCCCCATCAATGCAGGGCTTCCTCCTGCAGCTTGTCACACGCTGTGGACAAATGGACTCTCTGGGCACTGCCGAGTGGCAAGGGAAGAGGCAATAAATCAATCAGCAGTGGAATATTGCACTCTGAAATGGAGTGATGTTTGGTTAATAATTTGAGATCCACTAATCCTAAATGGGGTGGCCCATTTCAAATGGCCTCTGTGTAAATTCACAGTTCATTAAGTGAAGTCTGGTTCAAACGGGTCATCACCTACTCAGTGTACGAGTGACGATGCAGCAAGCCTGCTGGGGACCAGGACGGGTCACCCTGGCCGGCTCTGGCGACTTTACGGACACTGTCACCCTTCCTTTCGATGTGAGGGTCATTCACGTCACCGACTTTTTTGTTCACGTGCTTTTGCTTAGTAACCCCTTTTAAAGGTTTACAGTAGAAAATGCAGTGCAAAAATTTTACACTAGGAATACTCCACTGATAGTTCCTTCAAACTGACAAGGCTCTGGCTGGCCCGGCTAGAGGTGTTCACTAACCCGTGGCGGTCCCTCATCTTTCATACTTTGTCGCTCTGACCATCAACAGTGATGGAGAAACTAAATTGAGTTCATGGGGAGCGGGTGATAAATTCTTACAGGACTTCTTAGTTTGTTTTCAACTGGAAAATACATAAAGATGAAGAGGCATCTCTGCCTCTACTCATACATTTTTGGTACCAAATTTCTTCAAAACCACATGGTTTAAAAAAATTTTTCCAAAAATTATTATAACATACTGCCCAGACATGACTGCTAAAAAAATAGCATATACACGTCTAACACCGAACAGCTTCAGCAGTGCCTGTAAACTTCCAGCTCGTTCTCCTTTCTAAAAAAAATATAAAACTGATCAAGAAGTCAATCTGTTACACAACAGTATCGAAGGTCCTTAAATTCTTGACAGCGAAGGAAAAACAAAAGCCCACTCCCCCGGCTCGAGCGCGCCTGCGAGGCCGAGTCACTGGGAAGTCGCCGCCGGCGCCGCCACCG